AGAAAGAAAGAAAGAAAGAAAGAAAGAAAGAAAGAAAGAAAGAAAGAAAGAAAGAAAGAAAGAAAGAAAAAGAGAAAAACAAGAAAGACCTAAGCTGGTATATTGTCTTGCCATTTGGTGCCCTCTGCCATGTTATACAAGAGTCCTCACCAGATGCCTCCAGAACAATAAGTTAAATGAACCTTTTCTCTTTATGAATTACCTGGTCTGTGGCATTCAGCAACAGAAAATGGACTAAAACATTCTCCTTGTGCTTAATTTCCTCCAGACAACTAACTCCCAAACTGCCCCAGCTTCTAACACAGGTGTCAGCAGAATTTCCCACCTAGGGGAAAGAACCCAGACTCTTTTCAGGATGTGAGGAGTGGGATGGTACTCAGAAAGAACGCTCCACAAGACATCCTATGGCACTCAAGGCTGAGGTGGGAATGTTGCTAAAGGAGGCTGGTCCCTTCACCCCATGCCATGTTGCCAAGGAGAACTGTATAATGTGAAGACCATTGTGGTTCTTTGGAAAGGAAAGAGGAAAATGCTGACAATCTATTTTGCTGACCCGTGAGCAGATGGTGAGAAGACAAAGGTATGAGGGACAGTACTGGTTGCCGGGAAAGCATGTTGCCTGGTTGCTCTGACCACACAGATGGTCCCGTAATAGAAATTCCTTTGATGTGCTCCAGTGCCCTTGTGTAGCCACTGGCATTGACACCGCCACTTCCTCTGGGAACCCGTGGATGGCGTTCCGCTGTCTGGGTTGAGATAGACATCATGTATTTGCTCCATTGTCTTCATTTAACATATCTTTATTGAGTCTCTTTGTGATGTTTATACCAAGATAGAATGGATGGGAATGATATTATAATGTATAGAAGCCAAAGGGTTTTTTTTTTTTAAGGTAAATATGGGAAAGGAGGGGTGCCATATGAGATTCTCTGCACAGAGGAATATTAAAGATTAAAGCTGATACCCAAAGAATGTGAGAGTGAACCTTGCTACCACGTGAAAGCAAGGAAGCAGCAGGCGCAAAGGCACTGAGGGAGGAGGAAGAGTTCTTTGGCATGTGCAGGAAGGTTGCTAGGGTGATGAGATGAAGGGCAGGACCTGGAGAAG